TCTTAGAAAAGTGGCTGAAGAATTTGGGAGTCCCTCTGGCTGGTGCCATGTGGCACCTGGTCGGGGGTTCGTTACATCGCTTACATCAGCACGCATTTTTAAGTTTCTTTTGAGTAGATGTGTATCTACGATCAGAAAATAGTAAAAAAACAATGCTCCCTGTTGCTCCATCCACGATCGCTCTAGAATACCTTTTTCCCCACTAACATATTCCTGCATCCGCAACCTTTTAACAATTTGCACAAAGTACGTTCGTAACTTGCACATATCGGCCACCTAACCTTTCCTTACATTTTCTTTATGCTTTCTTTGCAAGCTCCCCCTCCCATTCCCAAGTCATTGCTGCAGTTCTTCCTGAACAGCGTGGTTTTCTCTTCAGAATCTCTTTGCGTTCTGTGTACGCAAGTTAACGAGAAACATTTCACAACTATAATATCAGCTGCTGCTCTCACAGCAGATGCTCTGCGTGGTTCTTTTAAGCGCCAAGAGCAGGGTAGTCTTGAACCACTAAAAGAAAAATGGGAAAGAAAAAAACATCTGTGCATACCGAGTTCATGAAAAGAAGGGATAAACACCCAGCTAGGCAGAAGCACGGCACTAAGTTACAACGCAATCTAACTCCCTTTAGGTCTAGAGTCCAGATTTAAGAACAAATCAAGCTACATGCGATACAGTTGTGAAAGCAGAATACGAAGCTACATGAAAGAGGTAAAAGTTTCTCTGGAAGTAACTTCTTTTTGATCTTCTAGTAAAAATAATTCTGTGATCACGTATATATAAGATGCTTTTATGGTGCAGCATATTGATTGTAGAAAAGAGCCTCAGGCTGCTATAGGCATCAAAGAATGATTGGGTTTCCCCCCCCCCCAGGTTAGTAGCTTTATTTCAAACGTTCATCCTACAGCAAGAGATGCATATAAAAGGATAATTGACCTGATGTCAGATAAACTCAAATCTGTGAAGTACAACGGCTGCTACTTTGACAGAAGAGAGGAGGAAGCGGTCCGCCTGTGCACTGCGGAGGGCTGGTTCTCCTGTCAGGTAAGCTCGGCCCTTTCTAAAGCTGGGAGTCTTGGTTCCAGCAAGTGGTGGCATGGCTTGCAGGGACAGTAGAGGAAGGAAAAAGAAACGGTGCTCTTGACCTTGGCCGCTTGCATTGCGCAGCGTCACGTGTGGCGGGGTGACGTTGCAGCGTGCGCGATCTGTCTTCGGTTAGTTCCAGCGAGTGTGGTGAGCAACACGCCTTTCATTGTAGCCGTCTGGTTTTACAGGGACCTTTCGACAGCGCCGACTGCCCGTGCAAGCATTCCATCAACCCCTACGGTAACAGGGAAAGCAGAATCCTCTTCAGTACCTGGAATCTCGATCACATGTACGTACAAAGCATTCATCCACGCTCGGCTGTCCCGCACCCTTATCTTGGGCGGGAAGGGCGCAGGCATTGAGTCTTTACCTCCTCCTTCCCCACACCGTGCAGTTAGCTCCCCTACGAGCAGTGCCTTGTGATAAAAGATGCTTGGATGCTGCAGCTGTTTCTGGTAATGTAAAATCCTGAAAAAGGATCATAATGCTGCCTCTCATTAGCTGCTTTGCTTCTGTTCAGATTTTCTTTGTGTGGAAGTATACCCCTCCTTGCCACGTCATCCTTTGTGAAGGCTCCTCTCTGGCAAAAACCCTCAGACCCATTTTCAGGCATTGTGTGTGCATGAAGCAAACAGGATTTGCTAATCTAATTTCCTCGGGGAGGGAGGGGGGGAAATCATAAACCTAGTTATGGTGAAAGAATTCAAATTCTGCCTGGCTCTAAAAGGAAGGTGGAGGCTTGATTGTTATGAAAAAACTTCTGATGACAATATTGTTTTCTCTTTTGTGTACTGAAGAATAGAGAAGAAACGCGCTGTTGTCCCGGAACTGGCAGAAGCTGTCAAAACACGAGATGGAAGAGAAGTGAACTGGGAATACTTCTATCAGCTGCTGTTTACCGTGGATAATTTAAAACTTGTACATATTGCTTGTCATAAGAAAACCAATCATAATCTCAGCTGTGACAAAACTAAAATTTACAGAAAAAGGAAGCAAAACCACAAGATTTCATAGTGCTACCTCTGGAAGCGACTGCTGCTTTTTTCAAAATCATGTCACGTAGTATCATTTTTAAATAGCTCTGGTTTCTTAAACAAAAACTTATTTAAGAGTCCCTGGCAAAAGAGACTTGCTAAGTAATTCAACTGCAGTCTCACAAAGCATACATTTATATCGTGCCTAACTCTACCCTCCCGCCTTCTCACTTACTGCTACCCTTCCTCAGATCACGCTGTGTTAAGCGTGATAAAATACAGCTGTGAGTCAGAGTATAAAAAGGAGGCCAGAGGCTGACGCTGGCTCTGCCGCCCTACAATCTCTTCCTTGCCGTGACAAACGCAGGCCCAAAACTCACAGTACACAGAAAGGAAACTTAGACAAAACATCTCTTAAAAACTACTCTGAGGGGACTTGCAGGTTTGTACTTCTCTGAATGATAAGCCAAACAAAGAATACTTTTGGATAATTATTTTGCTCTGTGCCTTTTCCAGGCAGGCAACCACCATACCTCAGGTATGCCAAGGGGCAATTCAGTGACAAGAGCTGCTGGCTCCTCTGTACCAAAATAACCCGCGCTCATCTGCAGCCACCCCTTTTCTGCCGCTTTGGACGTGCCTCTCTTGCAAGGAAGAGCAAGGCCGTGGCATATCTTTGCTTTTACCGCCTTTGTTCTTCGTCAGCTTTCCTATCGATTTCCCTCTCCTTTCAAACAGTTTCTGCCTCTTTAGCTTGAGTTTGCTTGAAGCAATGCAAGCAACGTTACCGTGTTATAATCATGTTTACCTGCTGCTGTAGAGCATGTCGGTTTTGTAAAACACTCCCTACCTCAGGTAACAAAATACAAATAGATCAATTTTTACTTGAATTTTTTAAGTATCAGCTGACAGCAACTGAACTTCCAGGGACTGTCAGTGTAAACGATGTTTATTTTTTTTTTTAATAAAAAAATTACCACCATCTTTCTGTGTGCATATCTGGGGGTGGAGGTGCAGGAGTGGTTAATCAGGTGTCACATAGCATGGCCGATACAGACTAGAAAGACTGAGCGCAGGGAAACGTGATTACAAATGGAGCACTAGCTACTTACTGCAGTGTAAATAACGTCACTCATCTCTAGGGAAGAGCTCCGCTTTCCCCCATATCATTGGTCCTCTTTCTTAGCCAGGCAAGTCCAGCCGGTCCACACAGAATTGTACTGAGATGGTATTGCTGTGCGAGCGTAACTTCCTAGGTCTTGGAAATGCGGGAGCTTTGCTACAGAGAGCAAACCGCTTACTTTAAACAACGAACTTGATCCCCCCCCTCCCACCCCCAACCATTTCAGTATGAAAAGTAGGTGCATTTTAAATACAGGATTTCTAGTACCCATGCATTGCATCGATCCCTCCAGGTTGCCTTACCGAATATACCTCATCGGTGACTGAGATGAAATGCATGCTATACTCTTGACATTGGGGAAGGCATCACAGCTAAGATTCTGATGACAAACATAATGTCACTGTATGGCACACTTCCTACAAACTGAAAATCACCATTTTACACGGTGCTGAAACGAAAATGAACGCTTGCGTGTGCAGACGTGTTTGCTAGAAAGAGACGGTAACAAATACAGTGTTAAGGAAAGCTGGGAGAGCTCCTTCAAGATGGAGTTGTGCTGAAAACCATGAATAGGCCATTAAAAAATTAGATTTTTCTGTGTTACAGAATTAGAGTGAAAAGGAGCCAAGAAATATCGTTGACAGAAACAATGCATCAGCTGGAGTGGAAATGTGAATAAATTAACATGTCATGCATATACAATTTGTTTGGCTTACAACTTTTGAATGTTTAACAGGCTATAGCTGTAGAAATTAATATTTATTTAAACCATCTGCTGATAACATTTTCTCTATATTTTTAGAAATGTAGAAGAAACTATTTATAACAATAAAGATCTGGAAGCTTATTGCATAATCACATTTTCAAAGAAGCATTATCATAAACATCGGGTGAGTGAACAGTTCCCGAAATCATCTGAGGTTGCTCATTATTTTCTAAAAACGCGGGCCAAAATAACAAGTTTGGTGGACTGACCCATATCCTTAGCAGTCAATAGTTGTTATTCTACCGAGCCCGACACTGAGAGGTTTTATTCCTCCTTTACCACCACCAGTCTATTTGTTTACAAAACTCCTATTCACAGCCCTTGGAAGTTAATTGAAAATCCCGCACGAGCTGCATTACACAACTATTAAAAAAGGCAACGCTTATGGCCAGTCTGGTGGATGAGGGAAGCGCTCAACTTCACGTGGTGGTTGTTAGAGAACTGACGTGCCACAAAAACGTACTTGACTTCCAGAGATTAACGCCGCTGAACTCACACCGACACCCGTGCATGTAGTTTTGCCGGCAGAACTGCATTTTAGAGGTTTCACTGGTTCTGGCTGAGATGTAAACAATGCAACACAACTTAGGCGACAGGGGCGGGTGTCCCTCTTTCTGCTGGGTAGTCAACTGGCTGCGTTACTAACTGGGCGCCACGATGGCAGACGCTGCAGAATTAAAAGAAAAAGGACCTTGTTCTAACATGGGTTTCTTGGCTGTTTTTGAAAAAGGAGTGAGCCTAAATGCCCACCCTAGGTACGGGCTCAAATTTATAAAAAAGCAATAAGAACTCCCGCTTTCCCTGTTTTTTCCGTAAATATTAGTGGTAAAATGATAAATTACAATTTATTTCCAAATCACTGAAAATTCAGTCAGTCTTTGTCCCAGAGAACCGTGGGAGAATGCTGCATCTGCCAATTCCAGAAAAACAAACACTACCAGTTCTCTCTCTCAGAAAAGGCAAACGCAGACACCTTATGTTAGTGACATAGCCAACCATCGTTACGTGGTTGCAAAGAGAAAGAAAAAAGGTTTCATTTGTTTACAGTTTGTTGTTAGACAGCATCCTCTTCCTCCTCCTCCTCCTCATCTTCCTTTGCAATGAAATGTAGCTTTCTGAATTCTCGCCTGCTCATCGTTGTGCTTGGGTGTGCAACTGCCGGGAGATCCTTTGAGAAAAAGATAAAATCATTAAGGGAAGTCTGTTGCGGCAAATGGCAGACCTCCTACCTCCCCAACAGTTCACGTACTTCCACATCTGATACGTGAGGCACCGACACACACCTCTTCCCTTGGAAGCGGTGGCATAAACCTGTAGCTGAAGCAGAGGAGCTTTCAGGGGAGCCTGCCTGAACCAGCCACGGCTCACGGCCAAA